CTCTGGTTCATTAGTTGACAATCTGTACATTCTAGAATCTAAGTCATCTCCACTGTGTTGTCAAACGGGAACTAACAACGGTCTGATTGTAGTAAATTTAGAGTACAATCAAATATTCAACGACAAGAACTGGTATTTTGTAAAAGGAGATGTAATGTTTATAGTAAAGTCTTATTGTCATTGTCTGTTCTTTGGAGATTTATATTTTCTCCTTTTATATTTAAGTACAATATTTATCCGTACAGTAATCATTACATTTTGAAAGGTCAAAGGCGGCTCTTAGCTGCTTTTCTTGAGAACTTGCCACTCGGACAAACGTAATGATGATTTATGCTGAGTTGTCGCCGCCTTACCATGCTGAGGTGGCATGTTATAGATATCGGTTCACCCAGTTATAACCGATATGTTGTGACTGACATATGTTGACCGACGTGTGTTGACCGACATGTGTTGACCGACATGTGCTGACCGACATGTGATATCGGTCAAATAATGGAGATGTCGATTCTTGTTGAATTTTTCATCGTGCAGCCGTCTTGAAGTTGATGAGAGCGCCACGTGCTTGCATGAACCTTAATTATCCTCATACTGACCCCAATTTAGCGGATCAACGTCACTTAATTTTGGATTACCGAAAATGATATCAACAAGGTGGCCCCCAGCATTAATGGTCGTCTGGACAGAAGACGGGCAGTGATGCTGAAACTGTAACAGAACTTAACTAAATTCCTGTATTAATGCGACATGTCGGTTCCATCATCTGCATCCGATGTCTTCACACTTGTAGGAATGATACTTGAAAGTTGGAACGGTGTGCTTTATTGAAATTAATTGCACCGTTTTATTAATAGGGATAACGGTCACTTAAAATAGGACACGTAGCTGTTATAAAGAGGCACGATTTCCAAGGGTCGCGTCGACTCGCAGATCCAGAACGTGTAATCGACGCGCCCCTATTCCTATCGGTTCTCAACGGTCGCTTTCAAATCTAGGGTTTGATATAAATAGGAATTTTTCTTTTGAGATCTACTTTACTTTCATCTTCTTCTTGCACTCACTCTTTTTGGCTTCCTTTGCAAATTAATCGTTCTTCAACCGTACTCAAAGCACTTCAGATCCATGAACGACTTCCTGTGGTAAGAATTCTTCATCGTATTTCATTTATTTACTCCGACTTTTCCCTCTTTTTCGACATCATGAGTGTATCTTGGGCGTCTTCGAGTGACGAAGAGTTGGACGTAATGATGATCAACATGGTCCACTCCGGAGAGTTGGAGTTATTATCTGAGTATAACCGGTGGGATCCAGTGTTTGTTGAACGGCTGAAAATCCGTCTAAATGACAACGAAGGGGATGAACTTGTGGAGAGGAACGCCATCGACGACTCGAGATTTTGGAGGCGTCCTATTAGGAGGTGGCCGAGTTCTGAAATTACATCTCATGGCGAACCGAGTATTCTTACCGATGCCGACGTCGTTATGTTACGGGGCGAGATTCGAGTTCCTTCGTCGGTTCACCTGTTTGCCCCATACCCAGGTGAGAGGATCACATGTCCGCCACCCAACTGTGTCGGAGTGTTTGCTGAGAGCCTAAGATCGGGCTTACGATTTCCTTTACCACGCATAATCACCGAGTATTTGCGGGACTGGGAGTTTCCGATATGCCAAATCGC